AATTTCACTAAAAAATCTATGTCTCAGTCAAATCAAAACATGAATTCATCAGCTTTGCATTATGAAAAGTCTTGATTTTGTTTTTCACTGATGTTAGGATGAGAAAAGAGCTAGTCTCGTACACCATTATGAAAACAATCGCATCTTTTCTTGAAACACGATCTATTAGAAATGCTGAAGTATATAGGTACTACACAGAGCGTGACAAACTCCGTCGTATATATTACTCTTTAATAAGTATCATTGTTTTTCTAGGATTCGATAATAACTATTAGAATGAGAATAACGAGCCTTTTTAATAGCTGAGTTATTTTTTTTTGCTGGCATGTCGAAATAATGAAGTATAATAATAAAAAAATGTAGTGCAAATGTGTTTGATAATAGTGAGAATTCAACTATCATTCTATAATTAACACTAGTAGTTAAATCGTTTTTCACATTTTCGTCACGCAAGACTTGCAAGACAATTTTTTTAGCAATTAACTTAGATTATACATTTCTGAATGATCTCATACTAAAACCTGAATATATTTTTTTCAAATCTCAATCTCTGATTATACAAAAAGACATAGATTCAAATACAGATGCAATATTTCGAGACTAATTTTTACACTAGATGGAATCATCTGACCAACCTATGTTTAACTAATGATTATTCAGCAAGATGTAGCATTTCTTGTAGAAACAAAATATCTTCGTGATTCTCGATGAAAGACAGATGAATTCGGATTTATTTTTCGAATATGTTTACAAAAATTTTCTTCCGTTCTACATAATAAATTGACAGCAACTCTAAACTTTTATCAGGTGTCAAATCAAATTTTATGCAATGTTTTACTCCACATTTCTATGGAATAACCCTTGGTAAAATCAAATGACTGTATAATTTCTTAAACGATTCATTATTGAAACAGTTAAGAATGATGTGTTCTTCTAAAAACCATCTCCCACCTTCCTAAAAACAAAAAAAAAACATATTTCGTACCACGCCTCGACTATAATGTAGATCACCATCATTTTCTGATGCTGGATCCTTGAGCTATTTAAATAAAAATAAAAATCATAAAAAAAAAGAAACATTCAAGATATTTAAAATGAATGAAAAACTAACCGCAAGATTGTAAGCACTAAATGCTTGTTTTAAATTTTTTGGATGATTTTCAACCATGAAATAAAAACATACATAAGAATTTGCAAGTGTATCTTTAAGACAATAGTTAATTTAATAACATTGATTTAGAAATTTAACTTACACCATGATGCACCATCTTGAACATTAAGTTCAACTGCTTGTTTAGCATATTGAATACTTTCTTCTATCATTCGATTTCTTTCTGTACGATCAGTTACTTTTGAAGCTAATTGTCGTGTAACAATTGATAAATTTCTTAAAACAAGTCGATTTTTTTCCTAGAAAAACAAAAAGAACAATTTCTATTTTAAAAAAATATATAACTTCTTTTTTTTGATTACTTTGCTATTTGCATTTTTAAAACAATTAGCAGCCATTTCAAATTCTCCATTTTTAGCATAACTTTCTCCAAGTTCATTTAATGTTAATACATTTGATGGTTGAAGAAGTGCTGCTTTACTTAAATAATCTGTTGCACGTTTATCATATTCAGGAAATAAATTAAATGCACGACCTTTCCAATATGAAAATAAAGCACGTTGACATGGATCACGAATTTGTTCTATTTAAAAATAAAATGAATATAAGTTCTTCGAAAAAAATATTTAAAGAAATACTATAAATTTACCTTCAATTTCATTATAATTCGAAAGAATTTGATCAAGTCGTGTTCGAATTAATTTATAACGATTTTTTGCTGATTCAACAGGTTTTGAATTTGGTTTAAATAATTCATCACGATATTGATACAGATTTTCAATGTCAGTCTAAATAACATAATTTTATCATAAATACAATGATTAATCTAGATGACTGTATATCTTAAAAAATATTTTGCATTTGCGTCTATTTTTGTCAACGAATGAAAAGGTATTCATGTCAAGGCAAAAATAATTAATGTATGATTAAAAGAGAAAAAAATTGTCATATACTATTCATTACGTGAGTCAGATATTACAAAAACAAAAATATATAAAATCATTTATTGAAAATTATTACGATTCGATATAATTAACTGTGTCGTTTATTCAGAATAGAAATATTTAGAAAATTTCTCGCTATGTCTACCTTCAATGTAATTTAAATTAAAATCTGAAGTACTATTTGTCCAAAATTAAAATGGTCGCCGCCATTTTTTGAATAACTTGAGAATAGAAGCAGCTAGCGAGTTGTGGTTTTCATCAGTTTAAAGAAGAGATATCGAAACGTCTTTGTCTCCGATATTGTATAAGAAGAAACTACTTTAAAATCCACCGTTTTTGTGAAACGTCGAAAAAATATACAAAAATAATCCGTCATTAAGATGAAATTTTTACAAAAAATCAGAAAATTTGCTTAAAAACTAAGAAAAATGCACACCTTTTCAATGAGTAAATTGAGAATTTGATGTGTTTTATCTTAGAATGTGTGAAGATAATCATTCAAATTATATCTTAAACTATAGATGTGAAGTTCCTCTATCTAAATAATATATCAAAATCAAAATTTCATCCAAATGATGAACTGTTTTCATCCATTTTTTCCAATGTTTTGCAGAAATAATTGATTTCAAAATGATGTCGTCCCATACAACGTCAGAGAAAAAGACGTCCCAGCGTCGCCTCTTTCGACTGGTAAAAATCGCAGCTTGCTAGCTGCTTCTATTCTCAAGTTATTCAAAAAAAATGGCGGAGACCATTTTAATTTTGGACAGACAGTAGTTAACATACTTTTGAATAGGAAAGTTGGATTTTATATAGAAAGATACTTTTAAATGTTATTTGTGTTAGTAGATACAGAATATAATCAAGTATCAATTCTATTGTTAAATCAATAGAAAAACACAAAAATATCATCACGACAAGCTTTAATAGAAATACATCAAATGTTGAACTTGTCTATCGATTAAGTGGGATGAGAATACAGTTTGCTTAAGTTATTCATTTATATCAGTGTTTGAAGAGATTAACTCAATATAAATGATTGTCGAAAATTCAATTTAATCTTTGCTTAAAATAGGTGCTTAGAATAAGAGATTATCTTACCGAGCAAAGATTAGAAATTGTTGTACATATATAAATATATATATTTGTTACTCATTAAAAATTACTAATTGATTAAAGTATATATTCATGATTATTTTTATGAATAGATTTTAAGCTTCGATCATAATGTATTTTTTTTCCATTAAATTCTTAATTGTCAGTCGAAGAATGGAATTTTCTATTGATTGTACTACCTGTAACGCTATGTTTATCTTTTAGCACAACTATTCTTGACAGATATTCTATGCATTCAATTATCTTTCACATGACTAACATCAGAAAATACTAATAAAAAGTAATTATAATAAATAAGACGAGATATTCTTAGACAACACATAGGCTTAAATCGTATAGAAATTGTTCCGATTTTTAAAGAATTTTTATCGTAAAATTTACCTGCAAAACAACCCTACTATTTGTTTTTTCTTTGACTATTATGTGTTATTTCATACTACTGGAAACAGGTGTGTTATGAAAAAAGAAGAAAAATAATATAGTTTTTTTTTTGCACATTAGGTGAGAATATTTATTCGCAGTATGTCATTGAAAAGAATTATTTCTATTGCACTATGAAGTGCTTTTCAAATTTATCTCGAGAGAAAAGAAAATTTAATCTAAGAAATAAAGAAAAAAAAAGGAAACATTTTCTTTTCTAATTAATACAAAATGTTTTTCTATTTTCAATGAAAATTCTTGTCATGATGGTTTTTAATTACCATATTACATTTCTAGGTATCATGAATACAATAGTATGAAACAAATACTTGAAAATAATTTTATCTGTTAATGATTACAATTTTCTCTTTTTTTTTTTTTCTAATAAAAATAGCACAAAATGAAAAGTTGTAAATGTAATATTAGTTGCTACGAAACATATATATTTAATACAGAATAGAACCGATAAGATTAAAAAGAAATCAATGATTCATCTATGAAATATAAAGGAGTCTTCACTATGGTTACCAAATGACTCAAATAAAATAAATCACCTTTAACCTACGTTTAATACTATTCTATTATTTCATTTAGTTTTCTCAATAAAAATTTTCTTTGAAGAATTTTCTTACCTTAAAAGCAGAAACTGTTTTTGCTTCTTCTGCCTAAAATAAAATATACAATAATTATCGAAATTAACATCTTCGAAATCAATTTTTACCGTTCTTAATTGTACTTCATCAACTAAATCAGTCATTATAGATACTTCTGAAAGAAAAACATCATAGTTTTTTCATCAATATTATTCTGTTTATACTCAAAACCAAATGACTTATGCTTTTACTTTTATTTGTTTCTTTTTGTATTTCTGCTTTACACATGCACACACATACACATACAAAAAAAAGAAGAAAAGGTTTCGACAACAAAGAACAGGAAGAAAAGAAAAAAAAAGATAGAGTATCCATTCATATGAAGGTGCCAATTAAAAGAAAAACAAATGAAAATGTCATAATGTTCACTGAAAAATACTTTGCACGTCTAAATAAAGCATAAATATGCATCTATATATATATATATGTATATATAAACCTGTCCTTTCCGTATGAAAAAAATGCAACATAGAATTATATACAAATAAAATTCATTAAAACCCTTGTTTTTTTTTTTTAAATTCTCTTCAGCAAAAAAGAACGACATTCTTTAATCGATCTAAGCAAAAGAAAAGATCATACGTGAATACAATATATTTCTTCTGAAAAAAAAAAGTCACACAAAACAACGACAAAAAAAAAATACAACATCAAAGCATAAATTCACGTAACACATATATAAAGAGAGATGTGCAGAAAAAAAAGAAATTAATGCTGTTGCTATGATCTGATAAAAGTTTTCTTTTTTTTTTTTTTTCAACAACATCCACCGCTGGTATTTGCACTTGGATTTGGACGAGTAGAAGGTCCACTTGAATTACTACCTTGTTGACCAATTTTAATACCAGTGACCTAAAAACAAAGATCAAAGTTTTTTCAAACACTTCAACAAACAAGAAAAGTTTTTACTTCATTTGTTGGATCAAAAACACCCTCTTGAATTTTTGTATAAATTTCACGAGCAGTATTAATAAAAGCCTATGAAAGAAATAACAACAAATTTATTTATTAATTTTTCTTTTAATATAATTTTTTTTTTAAACCTCTTCAACATTTGCTGCTGTTTTAGCTGATGTTTCCATAAAAATTAAACCATGTTCACGTGCAAATGCTTCACCTTCTTCTTTTTGTACTTCACGTCGTGCCGATAAATCACTAAAAATAAATATAGAATTATTTAAGAAATCAAAAAAAAAAAATTCTTAATTTTACCATTTATTTCCAATAAGCATAATAACCATATTTGAAGTTGAATGTTGTCTTGCATCTTCAAGCCAACTAGTTAAATGATTAAATGTATGTCGTCTATTTTATTTTTAATTAAGAAAACAAAAAATATTCAAATAGAAAAATTTTATTTATCTTACTGAGTTATATCATAAACAAGAAGAGCGCCGGCTGCACCACGATAATAAGAACGAGTTATTGAACGAAAACTTTCTTGTCCAGCCTAATTTTATTATTTTATATTAAGAGAAAATGTTTTCAAGAACATTAAAAAATAAAAAAAAAAAAACAAACAAACCGTATCCCATATTTGTAATTTAATTTGTTTACCATCAATTGTAATCATTCGTGCACCGAATTCAACACCTTTGATTTTAAATTAAATTAAACTTTTTTTTGAATATTTTAATTTAAGTTTTACCTATCGTTAGATCATGTACAGGTTGAAATCGTTTATCAGTAAATTGAAGTAATAAACACGATTTTCCGACACCTAGATGAGAGCAGAAAAAAGAAAAGTATTCATTTAAATAGTAACAAAGTCTATTAGAATCACAAACCAGTATCTCCAATAATTATATATTTAAAAAGATAAGCATAAGCCATTATTGTGAATCAAATAGTAACAATATTTTTTTATCTTTGAAAAACCTAGAATAAATGAAAAAAAAAAACAAAAAAAGATTTTATTTTGATATAAAACATGATGATTCATGGTAGAATATGAAATAAGTGACATCAGCTGCTATGCTGCTACGTCACCATCTTGGTTTTATATGATCGACTGACTTCTATAGCATTTGCGTTTGTTTTTTTATTCAACTAACGACATCTATTTACTCATATTAATTGTGTATATGAATTAGAGCAAATATCTATGAAACATATGTTCATGTCAACTTCAATTTTTAGTTAAATTAGTTGGTTATAGATTATCTATAGAAAAACTAATATTGAACGAAGTTTTTTTTTTAATAAAGAACTAATGAAATTTTTCAAATAAAATTGATTTTAAAATTAAATTTTTCTCTATTCTAAAATGATATTTTCAGAAATATTAAAACCCTAGTATATCATCTCAAAAAATCTTTATATAATCGCAAGTGAAAATATACAATGAGTATTACATTGTCATAATTATTGAATGAATCAAAGTCAAATGATTCATCTGTCAAAAAATGTCATAACAATTTTCCGGCCAGTCCTAAAAAACTACATTTTCAATGCCTTGACTATCGAATCTAATTATTACTAATAATAAAAAACAAATATTTCGTGCAAAAGTAATTGAATTTATCACCACTGATGCAAGAATATATTCTGTTTCATTGTTCAACTAGACTCTTTATTAAAGGACAAAGCACTATAATAAAAATTATTGAGTAAGATCTACAAGAAAAACAGAGAAATAGTCCCTAATTAAATCTTATGCTCGATGTAGACTTTTAGACTTTATTTCTTTATATTCTTACAAAAAAGAAACAACATAAACACATGAAAAGCAAACTTTAAACTTGAAATACCTGATAAATAATCAACGAATAAAAAAAAATATTTATATAAGTGCACTCAAAGGAGAACGCAAGAGAACAATGGTTTCTTACCTGTCATACTAATATTGCGTCAATGTACTAGGGTTTTTTCTACAGTGAGAATAATCAGAGATAATAGAAAATAGATTACTGAGGTGACATGAAGCTTCTTTTAAACACATCGCACATGCATGATAACTCATTGTCTACATGGCATAAAATATCAATCCATAATAATAAGGTCGCAAATTCCCCAGGAAAAAATAAATACTCATTTCGAAGACATCATTTTCATGACATAAATCTGTTTCTTTTCTGTTTTTTTATAATGTTTAATGATTGATGAATGAATGTTGAAGGTCATATAAGGTACTGAAAAATTTGGTATGTTATTTGTTAGCGCGATGTTCGTTGAAAGGATGCACACCGAGTAGATAACTGTACTATAAATAGTATAAGTGGATTTATGAATTTCATATCGTTCGGTCTGTTATATATTAATTGTCTTTAAAAACCTTCAGAGAACATGATTGATAATGAACTGGAAACGTAGATCACTCAGTCACAATTCAAATATGAGTACTCCTAGACTATCATCCTTAGTATAAACGCCTTAATTAGTGTGTTAGTGAGCCCAGTGTTTTGATCATAGTTGATTTCTTGATGAATGATATGAAAGTGTCTAGAGGAAATGTTTGTTCATTTTTGACTCACTTTCAAGTATTCTAGACGGATGAAATACAATGCGGCAGCACCTGAATTTTGTGCCCTGCCCAAAGATGGACTCAGAAATAAATCTTAAAATCTACTTTTTATCCCTTGCGTAGCTCACATCACATAGCATAATCAATGATTAGAGTCCATGTTCCTAAAGCGAACGGAGACTTCATGAATGTGCATTGTGACTGCCATATCTCCCTCATTTTACATCCTCAAATTAATATTTTTATATCACGGAATAGAGGACAAAATTTCCCATCTTCTCATGTAAAAAGATAATTTGTAATTGCTAAAATAGTAAAGCAATCAGCGATAGAAAATAAAAATTTGAAAACGTTCGCTTTATGTACATGTTCCTAAAGCGAACCCACCTGCGCAGAACAAGCAAAAAATGAAAGAGTGCAATATTCACTCATTGTGGTTTGAAGATTTCAATGAAATATTCTAAAATTGATATCATTGAATTCTTTATCTTTAACTCTATCATATTCTAGAAGTTCAGCTTAATCGAAGATGGTTTTTATTTTTTATTAAATTCTAAAAAAATATACCCTCCGTTCGCTTTAGGTGCATTGCACCTAAAGCGAACGATTTAGCAAGAAAACGTACATAAAGCAAACACACCAGCTATTTTACCTGAATATCAAGTGTCTTTTACTATTTCCTTCATTTATCATAGACCGACATCAAAATTCACTTAAAATTTCGCTGACAAATATCTTCAGAATTGTTACAGTTACAACACATTAGCGGTTCAATTAAAACATATAAAAAATAAATTCGGAAAGATGCAATTTCTTTGGTCTTTCATGTTGCAAGAAAAACTATTGAAAACTATCAAATATCTCATGAATAAAGGAGATCTGTCGAATCATGGACCTAACGCGCTAAAGAATCTAAATCAGCATTAAGTTCTGATCACTATTCATGTGTTTATTTTGTATTTTATCACAACTCGATTTTCCAATACCTGAGGTCCACCTCAGCGAGCAGAAAAAACTTTTTATCGCCTTTTTATTAGAATTGTTTACAGATAGATAGCGCCAAGTGTGCTGATTGAAAATATCCTATGTTTTTTCAAGAGTGCTCAGATAATAAGAAAGATCTGAAGCGCTCTATGAAAGCTTTAAGAACCAGTTTTGACCTAAACCTTCATGAAAATCCGCCATTTATTAGTCGAGAATAGGTTCTCTTGATGCAGAATCTCTTTCTCTATCAGAGTCTGTAACAACTTTTTCCATATTCAAATGGTTTGCATCTATAAATGTCAAATACCGCCTCGATCTGTTGGTATTTATGAGTGGTAATGATTTTTCAGTCTTATGAAGTTATAGTTTTTACGGGTGCACCGGTGAGATTTCTTCACTAAATGTGCAATTCAACATGCTCTTTGTAATGAGACCATTTTCAATTCGAAAGTAGATACCTAGTAAAGCACTTTTGTTCTAACCACCGCACTTGAGTGTCAATAAGTGTCATGTTCAACAGTTACTCGACGCTTTTCGAGCAGAAGATGCTTCCTTTAACTTCAAACAAACGTCATATTTGAAATCAGCGCAAAACGAGTCGACTCATGAACTTTTCAAATTGTTTCTACGTCTTTTTTTCAGTCATCTTCTCAGACCTAGACCCCCTCAGGGATATAGAAAATTAGTTTCCTAGAAACACCCTTTTGGCAACGTAAACGTAGTTCTGTGCTTGCAAAATGCCATTTGAACACAAAAGAAGAGGTTTCTAGATATTTAAATAGTTATTTTCATGAAGTTCATTTTTTCTGCTAGCTGAGGTGGACCTCAGGTATTGGAAAATCGAGTTGTGATAAAATACAAAATAAACACATGAATAGTGATCAGAACTTAATGCTGATTTAGATTCTTTAGCGCGTTAGGTCCATGATTCGACAGATCTCCTTTATTCATGAGATATTTGATAGTTTTCAATAGTTTTTCTTGCAACATGAAAGACCAAAGAAATTGCATCTTTCCGAATTTATTTTTTATATGTTTTAATTGAACCGCTAATGTGTTGTAACTGTAACAATTCTGAAGATATTTGTCAGCGAAATTTTAAGTGAATTTTGATGTCGGTCTATGATAAATGAAGGAAATAGTAAAAGACACTTGATATTCAGGTAAAATAGCTGGTGTGTTTGCTTTATGTACGTTTTCTTGCTAAATCGTTCGCTTTAGGTGCAATGCACCTAAAGCGAACGGAGGGTATATTTTTTTAGAATTTAATAAAAAATAAAAACCATCTTCGATTAAGCTGAACTTCTAGAATATGATAGAGTTAAAGATAAAGAATTCAATGATATCAATTTTAGAATATTTCATTGAAATCTTCAAACCACAATGAGTGAATATTGCACTCTTTCATTTTTTGCTTGTTCTGCGCAGGTGGGTTCGCTTTAGGAACATGTACATAAAGCGAACGTTTTCAAATTTTTATTTTCTACCTCTGATTGCTTTACTATTTTAGCAATTACAAATTATCTTTTTACATGAGAAGATGCGAAATTTTGTCCTCTATTCCATGATATAAAAATATTAATTTGAGGATGTAAAATGAGGGAGATATGGCAGTCACAATGCACATCCATGAAGTCTCCGTTCGCTTTAGGAACATGGACTCTATACGAAAAAATAAAAATGAGATTCATTTTCTTTAGAAAAAGAGGACAATATTTTCAACTTCAAATAGTCGATCTTCAAAGAAAAACTTTTAAATACAGTGAGTGTTATGAAGATAACGATTTTTTCCAATTTGTGAATTGTCATTTCATTGTTAAAAATCATGAAAAACTAATTGTTTCTGATTACTCCTAAGTTTGTCTTCATCAGGATCGAAAGTTCCATAGACTTAGTATCAGTTTCGAAGTGTGTTCTTGACTGATGTGTAAAATATGAACGCTCGATAATCAAAGATTAGTAAATCATATAGTTATTACAGACTATAAACATATTTAAATCAGCTTGCAACTCCGAAAAACTAGACTCCGTGATCATAAAATGGTTAAAATGGTTTATAAATGAATTCATATGCATTTTAATGATCATTTCTCCATTATTCACTGGATAGGCTTGTCCTAAAGATATGTATACTTTTTAATTGGCGCTTTTAAAGTGTTTTTATTGTTATATTATAATCGAAAGAGAAATAAAATGATGATTATTAAAATTTAGTATAATCGAAATTAGTAAGCTAAATGGAACAGATAACTAATGATACTTTTATAGTTAATAATCAAACCGATGGTGAAAAACATTACATTGAACGACGAAGTAGTGCTAGATATCGTAACGAGAATGATAATGATGAAGGTGCAACATGGAGTATTAGTAGTAATGGTGGTAT